TTGAGACAGAGCCTCAAGCTATCCCCCTGGGTAGAGTGCCATGGCATCACACTCACAGCAACCTCTAACTCCTGGGCTCAAGTGCGTCTCCTGCCTCAGCCTCCCAAGTAGCTGGGACCACAGGCACCCGCCGGCCATTTTTTGGTTGCAGCCATCATTGTTGTTTGGCGGCCCTGGCTGGGGATTCGAACCTGCCATTTTAGGTGTATGTGGCTGGCGCCTTAGCCGCTTGAGCCACAGGCGCCAAGCCAAGTGTTAGGTTTTGATGTTCATTTTTCCTCATATGTATACTAACTGTTATTATAATACATAGAATTGTGTTTATTCTTTTCCTCTGTGTGTTTTGCTTTTTTATGTTGCTAACATGCTTAATTACGAGAAATGTTCTTTTTTTTTTTTTTTTTTAGAGATAGAGTCTTATTTTGTCACCCTCAGTAGAGTGCTGTAGTGTCACAGCTCATAGTAACCTCTAACTCCTGAGCTTAGGTGATTCTCCTACCTCAGCCTCCCAAGTACCTGGGACTACAGGCGCCTGCCACAATGCCAGGCGATTTTTTTTGTTGCAGTTTGGCTGGAGCCAGGTTTGAACCCACCACCCTGGGTATATGGGGCCGGTGCCCTACCCACTGAGCTACAGGCACAGCCCGAGAAATGTTCTTTTTTGCTTAATATCATATTTTAGGCATTTCCCCCATGTGTTTGTATGCTGCTCCAACTTACCTATTTTAATGGCTGTTGGAAACTGCTATGGTGAGCCTTTGAGTATGCATCATTTTGTTATGAACTTGTGAGACTATTTCTACAGGATATCTTTCAAGGGGTAGAGGTGCTAAATCAAAGGACACTAACAGTTTCCCTTTAATTGCCCCTGATTTAAGTTCTTACCAGCAATGTTTTTAAGTGATATTTCTGTATACCCTTGCCAAGTTCATTAGCTACATGGGCTAAACTCTTTTACTAAGGGGAGGAAGTTGGCTTGGCGCCTGTAACTCAAGCAGCTAAGGTACCAGCCACATACACCAGAGCTGGGCGGTTTGAATCAAGCCTGGGCCTGCCAAACAATAATGACAACTGCAACCAAAAAATAGCTGGGTGTTGTGGCAGGCGCCTGTAGTCCCAGCTGCTTGGGAGGTTGAGGCAAGAGAATCACTTAAGCCCAGGAGTTAGAGGTTGCTGTGAGCTGTGATGCCACTGCACTCTACCCAGGGAGACAGCTTGAGACTCTGTCTCAAAAAAAAAGGGGGGGGGGGGAGGAAGTTGTGAAGGTGAACAGACTATGGGCAAAAATGTAATTACAGAGTTCCTGCTGGTTTTTGTGATGACTGTAATAAAAGTTGATGTGTAAATAGCATGGAAACTTCTGGAAGATAGAAATAAAATACGTTATTCCTGCCTGCAACACAGTACAGTGTTTAAAAAGTGAACTGAAACAATAAAGCAGACAAGTGTTTTCCCCAGAAAATTCTGCAGAAAAATGGTTAACATCACTAAAATGTGGACACCATCAACCTTGAGATGAAAATGATCTCCCTTCTCACTCCTTCACTTCTCTGCTACACAACCACATTGCAAAGGAGGGGATTTAAGCTCTGCTTTTAAAATATCTGAAGCCAGGTGTTTATCATAAAAGGCCTGAGTGTTCGTTTTTCTAAATTTCATAGAAGCAATCATAGGGCAGATTTTTGGCATTTTTCTTTAGCAAAGCAGGTGTGAGCTTA